GTGTGTGTGTGTGTGTGTGTGTGTGTGTGTGTGTGTGTGTGTGTTAATGCTCAGGAATGTCATCTTCCTCCTTTGAGACAGAGTCTCTCATTGGTCTGGAGCTCACCAATTAGACCAGACTGGCTGGCCTGCAAGCTTCAGGGATCCTCCTGTCTCCACTTCCCTACTGATGGGCTTATAAGCGTAAGCCACCACACTAGACATTAAATATTTTAAAAATAATTTTGTTCGTTATAAGTTGAGTGAGTTGATCTTCTAAAATATTGCGTTAAAATTTATGTTTACCATTGAAATTTTTTGTACCCTCTTAAAATTTTGTACCCAAAGTGAATACCTTTCATAAGGCCCTATAATTAACTATTTAGTGATATATTGGGGGGCTAGTGAGATGGCTCAGCAGTTAAGAGCATTTACTGCTCTGGCAGAAGACCTGGGTTCAGTTCCTAGCACCTACTCTAACTCCAGTTCCAAGGGATCCGTCACCCTCTCCTGGCCTCTGTATGCTCTTGCATGCATGTAGCACAGATAAACTCATGCAGTCTCACATATATACACATAAATAAAAATAAATCTTTTTTTCAAAAAGTGCTAAATGCAGCCAGGCATGGTGGTGCACACCTTTAATCCTACTACTTGGGAAGCAGAGGCAGGCAAATCTCTGTTAGCTCGAGGCCAGCCTGGTCTACACAGAAAGTTCCAGGCCACCTGGGGCTACAGCAAGACTCCGTCTCAAAAAGACTCAAAAAAGTGCTAAATGTTCTCTTTTCTTTTTAAATTTATGTTTCTGTACATTTTCCAAACTGCAGAATAAGCATAGATAACTCTGATTTTTTGTAAAATATTTTTTTGTAAGACTGGATCAGGCTGTCCTCAATCTCACTCACTATGTAGCCAAAGATGACCGTGAACTTCTAATCCTCCTGCCCCCAAAACCTATATGCTAGAATTACAGATATTTGCCACCATGCCTGGCTTTGTGTGGTGCTAAGTCTCAAACCCAGAGCTTCATGTATGCTAGACAGGTACTCTACCAACTGAGCTATATGATTAGCACATGGAAAAATAATATTAGGAAGATATATCAAGACTCACTCAATGAAGTTTCTTGTGGTTTCACCATGGGGCTTGCAGGAAACAAAAACTAGAGTGTGGATGGCCGTGCAGTTCCGTATGGCTTGAAGCACTTGGTAATCTGAAAAAAATAAACACCTTGTTAATATACTTCACCCATCATGGTCCCTATTATCCTAAACTCCACACTGACCAGCACTGAGGAGCAGGTTAGGAATGGAGGAGCTGATTGAGGGCTAGTCAACAAGGAGCCCCTTAGACTGGTATGGGAATGAAAATGCAGAGTTAGTGGACACCATGGGAAAGACCCAAGTAGCTCTCCCTCCTTACGCAGTCCAGCGCGGGCTGGGTTCACCACAGCAACAGTTAATTGCTTATCATCTTTTGACCTTAACAGTGGTGGCAAAATCTTCTCTGCTCTACCAGTGTGAAATTCACAGTTGGTGACACCTGCAGAAGAGAGGACCATGTGACATAACTTGAGCCCAACAAGTAGGAAGCTTCAGTTTTGTTGAAATACATAGTAGCCAGAACTCTGCCATTCCCTTTGGCTCCAGCATACCTCTGAATAGCAAACAAAGAAATGCTTTGGACCTACTACAATTTTTCCAAAATACTTTCCCTTGGCACATCTCAGTGAGCCTTTCAGCCTAAATGACTAGACACACATAGCATGTCAGTACCTACACCACAAGTACCTTGACTTCTACTCAAGTGCTCTTCCCGTTGTATCAGAAGTTTTCACTTGGCACCTCAAGAACTGTCTGGAAGTTGAGCATGTAGATACATGCCTATAATCTCAGCACTTGGGAAGCAGAGAAAGAAAAAGCAGAAGTTCAAGGCCAGTCTGGGCTACATAATATCTCAAAAAAGGCATGGTGGCACATGCCTTTAATCTAGGTAAAGATGGGGGAATCTCTGTGAGATCAAGGCCAGCCTGGTTGACCTAGAGACTTTCAGGCCAGCTGGGACTACAGGGAGATCCTAGCTTGAAAAAACCAGAAGGGAGGAAGGGAAGGGGGAGAGGGAAAGAGGGAAGGAGGGAGGAGGGAGGGAGGGAGGGAGGGAGGGAAGGAGGGAAGGAGGGAAGGAGGGAAAGAAAAGTTCTGGAAGTGGAGTAGAAGGAAGAAAAACTATTTTTTATATTACAGTTTGGCATTTTATTTGAAGAAAAGGCTCTATTCTTGAAAGTATAGGTTTGAAAGCTATTGTACTAGGCTATGCTGCCTTCTAAGTCTAATGTCAAGCAGATTCTTTAATTATGCCCAAGGTTTTACAACTTTCTGTCTTACCAACTAGGCTTATTCCTTCTCTTGGGTTTTTCTAGCAAATGGGAGAAAAAAAAGTTATTGGAACCTTTTTAAGATCCAACTCTGGCTGCTCTAGAAGCCTGCCTCCCTACAAGTTGGGAATATAGTAGCTCCCCCTTTCCATAGAAATAGCAACATGTCCTTTATTTTTGTTTCTCTGTAGGTGCCGAGGATGGAACCCTGGGCCTCACACACACTAAGCAAACAGTCTACGACTGAGCTACAGCCCCAGTCTCTCAGTTGTATCTCTTCATGATCTGTGTACCATTGAAGGCTGCAGTCCACCTGGCATCCTCTACTGCCTGCTCCAACAACTCAATGCCAAGGACATAGGATGCATGTCGAGCCAGAGAAAGGCCAATCACACCTGGAGAGAATAAGTAAGAGGAGGTTATTTAGTGTTTTAAAGCCATAAAGTTTTATCTACATCACCAACACAATCTCTTCCTGACACCCCCTCAGAGACCCTGATATCTGGGGAGATGGCATTTGAGAGCTAGGCAACATGCAGATTCTTCTCAGGGCTGCCACTCACCAGTTCCACAGCAAATGTCAAGGAGGATGGTATTCGAGTTCACTCCACTCAGCTCCCCCACAGTCTGATAGAGCATCTCTGCACCAGCAGTATTGATCTGGAAAAAGGCATCTGGAGAGATGCGAATCTTCAAACCCAGGAGATCTTCAAAGATGTGGGGTTCCCCAAACAGGAGCTGGTAGGGGGACTGCTGATGGCTGCAACGGGTCATGGTGCTGGACAAGAGCAAAGGAAGAAAGCATTTTAGAATGGGAGGAGAGTCTACCTATACTGGTTGGTTGGAAGGAGCAGCCTGAGCCTCCCAGCCAAGAGACAGCTTCCTTGCCATGGCTCTGTTACCACTGTAGCAGCTCCCTTCAATTTTTTATTTTATGTGTACAAGTATATTGCCTACATGTATGTGAGTGCACCTCTATCATGCAATGCCGCAGAGGTCAGAAGAGGGTTTCGGATTCCCCTGGAACTGGAGTTAAGGACGGTTTGTAGCTGCCATGTGGGTGCTGGGAATCGAACCTGGGTCCTCTGCAAGAGCAGTCAGTGCTCTTAACTGCTGAGCCATCTCTCCAGCCCCCAGCAGCTCCCTTCTTAAGGGATGGTAGTACATGTGCACACACTCACTTTTATATTCTTGTGTACTGCTTTTAAGATATTCAAGGCCACAATGACCCACTTCACTTCTGCATTCTGGCCTGGGTTCCTAGATCTTACTGGCATATGAAAGCCTTTTCTAACCAGCCTGGAACCTCTATTCTAAGCAGCCCACCATTAGCAAACCACACACCCAGTCTATAGTAAGCCAACAGGATCTGTCTGGCTGCTCCAGGCTTACCTTTCCTGGAAATAAAGTGAGGTCAAGTCACAGACTGCTCCAGGGCCTTTGATGAAAAAATCCTTCAAGTTCTCCTTCTGAACACAGAGCTCCTCCTGCGCAGACCACAAAATCAGGGGTTAAATAAAGACTCATCTCTGACAAATTCTCTCTCCAAATGCTACAGTAATCAGCCCTGCAGTAGTCAGACAAGAAGACATTTCTCAAATCCTATTATAAATAGCAGTTAACATGAAGCAATGCTCTGTAGAACAACAACAAAAAAACATGCTACTTTTCACATCTCAGTAGAAGTGCTGCTTGCTTTTCAGCTTTTGACAAATCTCATACAATAGGACTGGCACTTTCTCTACTTTGAGCCTCTAATAGTTCTCTAAAGAAAGTGTGACTTACTCTTATAAACAAGGAGCTAAACTAAGCTTCTGTCCCATCACGCATAGAAAATAACCTTTCAAATCCCTTCCTATTTCTCTGCTTTTGCTATCCCAACCACCCACTCAAAACATCATCTCAGAAGACGCAAGTCCTAGAAGAAATGAAAAGGGGAAAGAGAAGAGAACGAACATGGCGGGCTGGCGAGATGGCTGAGCGGGTAAAGGCTACCATGCCTCACAACCTGAGTTCAATCCCTAGAATCCATATGATGGAAGGAGAGAATCAACTCATGCAAGTTTTTCTCACACACAAACACACACACACACACACACACACAAATGTAAAAAGAAAAGGGTGATCATGGTTAACTCCTTTTTCCTTTTTTGAGTATAGAACATTTTAGGATTCTTGTATCACTAATCACTACAAATAGCCTAAGTATTAGCTTAGCACACTGATAAAGGGCAATAAACTATGTCACAAGTATTAGAATTAAAAAGACCAGGCCAGGACTCAAAGGACCTGGATGCAAATCCTAGCTTTGTAGTTAACTGGCTCTTTAATCTTGCATGTGCCTATGCCTCCATTTGTTGATCTATAAAATGAGGCTAACAATATCCCTCTTACTCCTACCTACTCTATAAGTTGGTTGAGATAATCACTTAAGCATAGGGGGTTTCCATGAGACTATCTGAAAGTACTACATGCATTACAAATGTAAAGCATAATTTTTGGAAGGCCACTCACTATGTTAACCACTATTCCTGTAGCATACATGAAGTACTCAAATTATAAAAGCCTGTCTACTCTCTATGGAAATGGCTTTTAGATCTAGTATCTATTACTATGTGCAAAGTCCTTGTGCAATAATTGTCTTGGATAACCTAGCCACGGTCTCTGTGAATTTGATTATGCCAAAGACTGTTTTCTTACCATCTTCTCCTCACCCTCAAACCTGCTCCCTAACCTATACAGATATTCTGGAGATGTGTAGTTTCTGCTATCCGCTCTGAAACTTCCAAAAACCCAATAGAGAATAGTACCAGGTTGCTCCAGAAGCAGTTTCCAATCTTGGGAGGCTCACCTGACTTAATCCCTGGGGATGGAAAGTGACGATGGCCATTGTGTGCCCTTGGTTATTGGTTCGAACTGTAAGCTGACGCCAGTGTCCACCTTCATGAAATAGAAGGCAGGGTTCTACTGAAGACTGTCGAAGGAATACTTCATAGCACTAAGAAGAAAGTGGTATTATTACACAGGCAAAAGCAACATGTTCCACAGCTCATTAATAATTCTAGGTGATTGATTGAGGCTGTATTATACTTCCCAAAATGTATACGTTGCAGATTGTATCCCCCAGCTCCTCAGAACATGATTGTATTTGGAAAAGTGGCCTTTAATGAGGTATTTAAGGAAGCCAGACATGGTGGTGCATATTTTTCAAGGACTCCAGTGGCTAAGGTCAGAGAATCACAAGTTTAAGGTCAGCCTAGGCTACCTAGTGAGATCTTCTCAAAACTACATAAAACTAAGAAGTGATTAAACTAAAATCAGGCCATTAAGCAGATTTTAAACCAACTCTGACTAGTCTCCTTACAAGAGGAAATGTGGGACTAGGAATATAGCCCAATCAGTAGAGCACTTGTTTGGTACACAGCAATGCCTGAGTTCCATTTCCAGCACGGCAAAAAACTGGCCATGCCACAACTAGGTTTTAGAGAATAAGAGACTACAGAGTGTGTGTCCATGGATAGGCCTCCTATATTAAATCTCATCCACCCATGGCTCAGGGACCATTGTGGAAGAGGGGGGGCTGAAAGATTGTAAGAGCCGGGGTAGTCCATGAACATAGGGAAACACAGGCTTTCAGGCCACTGGAAGCTTGCTCATGTGAACTTGTGGCAATAGTGGCATCAAGCAGAAGACCCATGCCAACTCAATCAGACAAGGGCCCAGAGTGGTGCAAGGGAAATGGGCTGTGGATTGACCCTGGCCTGAGAACTGTTGCAGACTGATTACTACTGGGTGAGGGAGAGTAGACCTTCCTTAAAATCTCTAGATAGGCTGACTAGATTCCAATGGATGAACTTGCACCTAAGGACATCCAGGTAAAAGGCTTGACTGGATGGGACTTAATGAATATGGCAGAATACATGAGGCCTGGTGTGTGGTGGGGGCATGGATTGGGGAGGGGGTCTTAATATGATTAAGAACTGTTGTATGAAATGTGCAAAAGCTCAATAAAAATACTTTTAATAAAACCGGCCATGGTGGCCACACTTGGAAGGTGGGGACAGGAGAATCAGAAGTTCAAGGTCATTCTAGTCTACATAATGAGTTTAAAGGTTGCCTGGACTACAGGAGACCCTGTCTCCAAAAAAAGGACAATGACAACAAAATATGAACACAAAGAGGCAATACACACAAAGACCATATGGGGCCATAGGAAAATGATGGCCATATGCCTCAGAAAAAAACAAACCTGTCAGACCCTGATCTGATCTTAGACTGGAAGCCTCCAAACAGGAAGGAACTAAACTTCTGCTGTTTATGCCACTAGACTGGTAATTTGCTCAAGCAGCTCTAAGAATAAAGGTGACATAAAAAAAACCATGATGTTTTGTCAGGTATAATAAATCTCATCTATAATCTCAGCTCTCAGGAGGCTGAAGCAGGAAGAGCCTGAGTTCCAGGCTAACCTAGGCTACACAGGCAGCCCTGCTCTGTGACCTCACAGAGGACACAACCATCCTTTGTATTCCAAACTGTAACTTCCATGAAGGCATAGGATTATATCCTCAATCTGGCACATAATACGTGCTCAATAATATTTTTGAAAGGTATGAATGAATGAACAGAAAAATTACTTGGATGTAAAAATGTGAATTTATTCCACATATGATACAGAACATAATAAACTTCCATTTCTGTGAATTATTCATGGCACCACTTCCTTATGCCTTACTGGGCTGCTATGATTCATTCTTACTTATAACTTCCTGATGAAAGCCTATCATTTCTATAACACACAACCAGATGCCAACTATACTATAGCTTACATCAATCCTCCAATTCCTCCTGGCAATTACAAATTGAATGCAATCCTGATTTAGTTGCTATGATCTCAAATATCCTTAAAATCAGGATTGGAGATATAGCTCTTCATAGAGCACTTGCTAACACGCACAAGGCCCTGGGTTCAACACACACACACACACACACACACACACACACACACACACACAATCCTTAAAAGCAAACTTTTCAAACAGAAACCACTTGTCTGACTTATGCGTTTCTTTTGGTCTCATAGTGCATGTAATCTATGTCTACTGTATTTTCAAACAAACCCCTGATTATATAAGAAAGAGGAAGTTATATCAAAACACAGTGCTACTTAGAAAGATAAACTCAAGTTAAGGCTACAATTATCACTCTATAATTTCCCATAAATGTGATCAAAGATCCTTAGCTACACTGAACATATTTTTAAAATTTTAAAGTTGGTGATGTAAAAACAAGAGCCAGGAAAGAGGTACATGACCATATGGAAACAGAGTCCTAGAAGCTCCTGGGAACCTGCCCATATAATTCTTTGGCAATGGTGTCAGCATACACAGGTCCCATGCAAACTCAGACAGACTAGAACTGGGAAAATGAACAGAAGACCTCAATCTTATCTGAAGGAATGTTGGCAACTGATTACTGCTGGAAGAAGAGCTGGTCTTCCTAAAACGAGGGACTCTAGAGAGGCTGATTAGACTTAGTGTATGGACTTGCATTGGGGAATGGCTGGATACACTGACAACCCAGTGGGCCTTGACAGGGATGACCGAGTATATATGGGCTCCAGTGGGGGTGGAGGGAGGGTGCCAGTGGGGATGGGGGCATAAAGATGATTAAGAGTTTTTGAGCTGTTCTGTAGGAAATACACAAAAATGTAATTTTAAAAATATTAAAATATAAAAAAATAAAAATAAAAGCAGACCAATTCAATTATTATTTACTTTTTGGTTAGAAAGGACTGCTTTCTGGAAGCAAAATTCAAATGTCAGAGGTCCTAGAAAGATGATAGTAAAAAAAAAAAAACAAAAAAAACTAAGCTTCACCTGGAAAAGAATAGGTCATTAAACATGAGATACAATTAAGGCTAAAGAGGCCTTCTGGTTACAATAACAGGATAGTCCTCCTAAAAATCCTACTAAAATGAAATGAAGGAAGAAGAAAATGTGTCAGCTTATTTAAGACCACTGTCCTAACAATTTTCTCCTTTCTCTCCCCTGCAAAATAATTTTTTTTACCTCAGTAGTAGATCAATCTTATTAAGAGACAAGCATCCTTTTACTCTCTTACTTTAAGAGAAAGCAAGGAAGCCAGGCACGGGGGCTTGCACCTTTAACAGTGCTCTGTGAGTTTGAGGCCAGCTTGATCTACATAGTAAGTTCCAGGCCAGCCAGGGCTACACAGTGAGACCCTGTCTCAAAAGAAAAGAAAAGTAACTTTCTTGAACCCATAGTCCCTATTAGCTAATACTCTGTTTCTTTGTTCTTTGAAACAAAACTCACAAAAGCTGTGTATACTCACTGTCTCCCATCCCACCACTTGAGAATCAGGTTCCCACCACTCCACCAAAATTATTCCCATTAAGGTTACAACTACCTGGTCCTGAGACCCAAGGGTCAATTCTTAGTCCTAATCTTGCTTATGAACAGCACTGGACACAGCTGGTGAGTTACTCTTCTTATTTTGTTGGCTCCCAGGTCACCGCTCTCCTGCTTCCTGTGCCAACCTCACTGCCTGTTCTTTCTCAGCCCTTTTTATTGGTCCCTCCTCTTTTCACAGGCTTCTTAAAATGAGACTTCCCTGGCTCAGTCCCTATTCTCTTTTTTTCTAACTACTCCCCTCTCCTTTTTTATCTTGCCCCAGACATGTAATTTTTGAATAACAACTACAATTTGAACTACAACTACATTGTAATATCTGTATTCCTCTCCCTGGAGCCCTAGATTATGTGCCAGATAATGATGTTTTGAATAATGATGATGGTCCTATAAGATTATAATAAGGCCCCAAATTTCCTACCGCTTTGTGTTGTCATAGCAGCCTTTACTGAATAGTCCTAGCACAATGTATTACTTGCATGTTTGTGGTGATGCTATTGTAACCAGGCCTACTGTACTGCCAGTCATATACAAGAATGACAAACAGTACATAATACCTGATAATGATAATAAATGACTGTTAACTGTTGTACTTATTATATTATACTTTTTATTATTTTATAGTAGGTTATTCATACCAGTAAAGTTCACTGTAACACATTATGCTGAATTACACTGGCAACAACCTCATACATCTAGTGTTTATAGCATCGCCTGATTCCATCCCTTTCTCTTCTGCTTTATTAATCTTGTATTGGTTTGTTTACTTTGCATCTTAGTAGACTATATCACATAGGCTTGTCTAAGTGCATTCTACAATGTTCACAAAACAATGAAATCACCAAAGATTGCATTTCTCAGAATATAACCCTGTTGATTGAGTTGAATTAAACTGTTCTAAACAACAAAAGAAACAATTACCAGAGTGAAGAGAAAGCACACAGAATGTGAGAAAATCTTTGTCAGTTGTACATCTAACAGGCAATTAATACCCAGACTATATAAAGAACTCAAAAAAGTAAACCCCAAAGGAACAAATAACCAAGTCAGTAAATGGACAAATGTACTGGACAGTTCTCAAAAGTACAGATGACCAATAAACATACTTAAAATGTTCAATATCCTTAGCTATCAGGGAAATGCAAATTAAAACTACACTGAGATTCCACTGACTCCCACCAATAGAATGGCTGTCATCAAGAAAACAAATATCAAATGCTGCCTAGGATGGAAGGAGGGACACTGTTACACTTACACTGGGACTGCAATTGGCATAACTACTATGAATTTCAGTATGGCAGTTCCTGAAAGACCTAAAAATAGAATTATTATTATGACCCAGCTACACCACTCCACAAAGTATATACCCAAAGAATCTAAGTTAGCATACCACAGAGATGCCTGCACATCCATATTTACTGCTGATATTCATTAGCAGAAGGATAACTGAAAGAAAATGTGATAATACACAATGGAGTTTTCTTAAACTGAAAGAAGAATGAAATGTCATTTGCAAGAAAATGAATGGAATGAGAAGTCATGATATTGAGCAAAATAAGCCAAAGTCAGA